TGCAGGTGAGCCACCAGTAGGTACATATGTACCGCGATGGAAAAGAAGAAAAAAATATTGAAGATTTGCATGCAAAAAACTCCCTGAACTCTGACGTGAAGTAGCGTTTAGCTTTAAGATGTGAAGATGTTTATAAAATATGACAATATTAGCAAAGCAGCCCCTAATACAATTCAAGAGTAAACGTGATTCTTAGAACTGTTATTTACTTATTGGAATTTTGAAATCTCATTGAGCTATGATATTTTTCCAAATTCCAATATTCATAGCTTCCACATAACCCCACTTATATTGATTATTAAAACCTTTTTTTTTTAGTTACACTCTGATGACCCATTACTTTTGATAAATGTTGGGCGTTTAGAAGTAATTGGCCCCAAGATGACAAGTGGCTAGTATGTCTCTGGTTAAATGTCATCTACAACGGATGTTAGCTTAAAACGAATCTAAAAAGAGATATGAAAAGTTTATGAATGATTTGTTACTGTTATGAAAATTCATTTGATGCTTTCATAGATATCCAGAATGTGTGCGCATAAGCGTGTTGATATACTACTATACATAAATGCGTGTATTTACACACATATGTATGTAAACACATGCAGAAGGAAATTTTAGTCCAAGTTGGAAAATTGGTTCGTTGTGGTCGAAAAAAAAATGGCTAAGTTGATTTTAGAAGGAGAGTTTCGACAGTTGTGTATGCAGGAATCTGATTTGCTGGCAAATAATCATTACTTTTTAAATGTTAACCAAAAAAATAAACAAATTTTAATCGTCATAAAACAATTTTAACTATACTAACGTATTTGTGTCGGTACGTCCTACTGCAATTTACAGTGATTTTTATTTTACGAGTTTAATCAATAAAAATTAAAAATTAAAAATAATAAATAATATGTGAGATTTATTTTTTTGCTCTAAGGAAATTCTTATTAATTGATTTTTACTTTTTCGATCAAATAATGATATATTTTTAATTAATAATAATTTATATATCTCAGCGAAAACATTAAAATCATAAAATAATCATTATTTGTGTTGGAAAAAAATATAAATCAAATAATAGATATTTCCGTTGAGCGAAAAAATAAAACTCAAAAATAATTATAATATTTTTAGGCGAAATGATAAAACTCATAAGGCATTGATTTAGTAGGGATTTAAATTATTATTATATAATTATACTCATAATGATTACCATCCCTGAAATTTAACTTGAGTTTTTTTAGAGTGAAGTAATTAATTGTATTATGTTGAGGCTTAAAGACTGAAAAAGGTTCTCATAAAAACCATTTGCCGTTCGCTGGCCAAACGTTTCCCGACATTGAAATGATAACACTATGCTACAGTAAATTTTACACACATAAAAATGTATATGTTCACAAAACTCTGGGTAAATTATAGTAAAACAGCGTACTTAGTTTTTCTCTCTGACATCAGGATTTTTTTTAAAGGACTTTGAAGTTTAAAAAATATTAGTATTTAAGAAAATTATTTTAAAAAAATCAGCGCAATGTAGTCCAAGAATAAAAGAACACAGAATAAATTTTTTGGTGCATAAGGACGAATGGATATGGAAAATGTCCTTTGCAAATTTTGTCCTTAGATATACTTGAAAGTTTGCAATATTTATTCTTGAAAAAAAAAAATTATTGTTTGAAGTCGAATACACACACGACGTCATCATCGAATTTCGTCCTGCAAACTGTAATAACTGAAAAGTTTAAAATTTATTGAAAGCACATTTTCAATACCTATTCGTCCTTGTAAACCAAAAATCTTTATTTTTTTTATTCTACAGAATTTTCTCTCTCATTTGTCATTTTATTTATATTACACTGATTTTTTTTTAATAATTTTTTGAATTAATCATATCCCTAAAACTTCAAAGTCCTTTGAAAAAAATCCTAACGCCAGAGTGAAAAACTACAAACACAGTTTTACTATAATTGGCCCATAGTTTCGTGAGTAAATAGTTCGATTCTTGAGTGTGTTTTGAATTTTTTTGTTTTTGTTGCACGGTGTAATAGTTGTCAGTCCTCAACCATTAAAACTTGTAAAAAAAAACCGGTAGCAAAGGGGCCCTAAGCGTCGAAAAAGAGTACAATTTTGCCTTCAGTCGACCACAGCAACACTGCTTGTGTAAATATTAACTAAATTACGATATCAAACATAACCGAAGTCCATTACATGCACTCAACGCTAGAGATGGCGTTTTGCACAACAAAAAAAAANCCGGTCAACTATTACCAGAAGCCATTGCGGAATTGCGGAACACACTCATCCATATGTAGGTATGTACAGTAGTGGCCAGATAAAGGTTACCAATGCTGTTTGTATATAGTACATACCTACCGTGTTCTTTATTGGAAGGATGCAGTCGCCGCAGGAATATCTGAATGGCCAGAGATTCCACTGATTTGGGTCGCTATATTTGCAGGGCCATCTAGTGGGTCCATTTTTTACAGAAGAATTGCTTATCACAAAAAGAATATACATTTAAAATTTCAGCCACATTGTACTATAAATACTGGTTTTCTAAATAACTCGACTCCAGCGCCATCTAGCGAATATAGCCTATAATGAGACAAAATATGCAAAGTATAACCTCCGGAAATTAATCCATCCAGTAATTTTTTAGTTAAGTCCGAACAACGAAAACGACTATCATTTTACCTCAATAATGTTATAACTCAAAAAAGCTAAACTCGATAAAAACGGCTTTAAAGTTTCATATTTACATACATATTTATTTCTGGTGAGATGCTGGTAGTCGATACAGCTATGATATCTTTACACGACACAGAAGAAATATAATATTTGCATACTCAACTCAAAATTTATAATTTTTGGATTACGACACTCTTGAAGTCAATGAAGCATATGAAGTATTTATACATAGATATATACTCAAAGACTTAAATACTGAGTAGAAAATCATTTAGTAACTTTTACCTAACGAAATAACGGGTACAAAAATACTTAACCTGAAATAAACCCGAAAAGTACCGAAAAATCGGCAAAAATATTTTTCAAATAATTACGAAAAATCCGGAAAGGAGCAAAGCAAAGAAAAGTCTCGAAAAACCCGAAGTTCTTAAAATAAATTCGAAATGTAAAACACGAAGAACTGTGGAAAAATCACGAAAAAATCGGAAACCCCTTGAATCAAATAATCCCGAACGCCACTAATAAATTTACCCTTTTCCTATCTAAAACAAAAAAGCAAAGACTTTCGATAATTTATTATTTTCCTAAACCAGATTTTTTTAAAGTTAAATTCATTTAAGTGAAAATTAATTTAGATTTTAATTTTTTGGTTTCACCAATCAATTTTTACTTTCATTTAAGTGACCTATGCTCTACACTTAAATAAAAATTAAATCAGAATAACCATACTCAGAGATGTTACGCGTTTAATCAGCTGATCAATAAACACACACCGCAATTTTGTGTATCAGCTGTTTACCAGGCCTGCTTTTACAACCACTTTTAGTACGGTGCTGCCATATTTTTTTAGTCACATAAATAAACAGCTTATTGAAGATGAAAAAAAAATTAAATGAGTATTAAACAAATTTAAGTTAACTTCCACTTCAATGAGTTTAGTGAAACGCAACCTTAGTATTTAGAAATCGACTAACTACCTTAGTACTTTGGTATTTAGCATCCGATAAATACTTAAATTTTATTTACTAGATTTTTTAATTAATCCTCTCCATCCAAAGAAATGCTTGAAATACACAAAAGTATTTAAGTGTGCCCATCACTGTATATAACAATATATGAAATTGCAACCCAACCATATGGCTTGGTGAAAACTTGTATCAAAAACTAATGTGAATACGCTAAGCTTTAATAATGGTAACCTTTTGCTGACCACTACTGTATTTACATACACACTCATCGAATATACGCAAAGGAAGTTGAATATTTTCCGCAGCCGCCATCAACTATACGAGTATGTAATCATTTACTTTCCAGCTGGGCCCCTAAATATTGCTGCCACATGCATGCTTATTTATGTACATACATACTTACATATTATGCACATGTCCATAAGTACACATGACTCATTTGTAATCATTCGTAAATTGCTAATATTGCATGTAAGTGTGTGATTGCAAAATCTATTGACTGCGTGAGCGCATTAAATTAAAATACCCAAATTAAGCGTCCATTTCGCATACTATCGTACAAATGGTTTATACTTACATGAATGAATGAATGAATGAATGAATGTATGTACTTGCATAAGTTTGCCAGATTGAAACGCCAGAGTATGCATGCATTTTATTGCCCGTAGCAAATAAGGCACCTGCGTCCCTCACCGCAAATGTACTCATGTCACTTTCTTGCTGATTAATTAGTGACCAACAATTTACAGATTTACAATTTTGTATTCGTCTATTCTATGAATATTTGTATGGTACTCGTATTTTTGGTTGGCTAAATTGTGGCTGACGCCTGCCCAGCTGTTTTGAGTTGTCTTTGGGCAACCACTTCTCAATGTCTCTCAGTGCTTCAGGCTTGTTTTAAAAATGTTTTATGTATTGCTTTTGCAACCAACCATATATGTACGTATTTATGTGTACATTTTTTTAATCTCTTTCTATTGCCAGATTGATCACTACAATGAGCACCATGAGGCCATCGAACAACTGGCTGGCCAGCAGCGCATAAACGGTTGGCTAAGCATCGACTTGAATCCGCTGAAATATGCACTAATCAACCATATTTGTAAATGGACGCACTTGTACAAACGCTGGCTGCTGCACTACGTGGAACGCACGCTAAATGTAAGCGCTGTATAAATTGTATATATATATGTATTTATATGCACTTTCTTTCTGTTCTTTTGTGCACCAGGAGCTGACCAAATTTATCAGCCATGGCTTAGCAATTCTACAACTGCCGGTTGGTGTGAAGAGTTTTCGTCGTTTGCTGCGTGTTTTAGCTGTTATGGCACAAATTCGAAAGCATGCCACATATCAGATAATATGTTTAAGCCCCTCAAGGATATTATAGCTTTGTTGAAAGCTTATAATGTCCAATTTAATCAACAACTTTTGCGTAAAATCGATCATTTGCCGCTGCAGTGGAAGCATTTGAAGGATGTTGCTGCCGCCCGTTCGGAGGCTTTGGAGGACGCTCAACGCTATCAACGTGAACGTGTTAATGCCATGATTGCCATATATATGTGTCACTTACACAATTATGCTAAACAATTTCCACGCTTGCCGGTGAGTATAAAATAAAGAAGAATAAACATTAACGTCATTGCAATAAATTCTGCTGTTACTAATTAGGTAAGATTATGTTAGGTGGGAGCCCTACGAGAGGTTCACTTAGAGCTTAGCATGTTTTCCATTATATTACCACTTAGTGGATTATTCCTGGAATGGTTACTGCGGGTAAAATTTGTAAAAAAAAAAAAAAATCGTACGATATGAATATAAGAAATAAAAATCGCCCAGCCGACTTTGAGCGAATCTGTCAAAGAGTATTCTACAAGTATGATTATCCTGTACAGAGTAGACGGGCAGTTGATTCACCAGCCATGCAATTCCCTGTAATTTTCCTGTATTCTGGGACCCATTTGAACTTGGTTTTGAAGTACCCCGACTCGATCGGGAGAGAGGTCAGGCCTTTCCCAACCAACCATGATCGGAGACCACCTCTTCCGGAAAAACGCTGTAGAAATCAGGCAGCTCAGAAGATTTACGAAGTGTTCATGAGCCATTTGTGAAGATGTTTATTGGACCTCTATTTCAGATGTTGCCACCCTACAATGAACCCCTTAAAGGTACATAAAGGCAAATTTCACGCGCCTCAGCTTCTTAACAAGAGTAGGCTTTTCAAGTTAGTTCCATCAGACAGTGACGTAATGTAACCGTAATTGGCTTCATTAAGGTTTCCAATATAACAGCATAGAGTAGATGTCTCATAGCACTTAGATAGCAGTATAGAGCAACTAACTGATGCCTTTCTTACCAGCACCCCGTTAGTGGGCTTCCAAGGATAACTCCCGAAACTTTGACCGCATCGGACAGCACAAGCGAAATGCCAACGATCGTGGAAAGCCGGGCACAAGCCACAATTCTGTCGTGAAGTATGCGGCAGATAAGCCTAAATTGTTGTCTACTCCGAACTTATTTAGGGATTTTAGGTAGAACACTGGGGCTTTAGCAAAACTTTCGTTTGGCTTGGATGGTTCTGCGAGGTTAATTTATACTTGAATAGAGCTGAAAGTTGTATTCCAAATCATTTTACTTGGCCGTATTAGGTTTGCGGTTAGCATATGGCGTCTTAGGGTGCGTTCATACAGAAAGCCGAGCGGTGCCGAGCTGAACAAAGCGTAGCGGCTGGTGTTCACACTTAACGAAGCGAAGCAGAGCTTTTCTGATGGACTCGGCTGCAAAAAATACCACAAAAATTATCGTTAATGAAAAGCGGCAAAAATATTTGCTCAATTTTATTTAAAATATTGGTTGTAAAATTCGTTTTTGTTTGAATATTTTGATATCTTGTTTGCGGCAGCGACATGAAGCTGAAAGATTAAATAGAAAATTCAAAATCAAAAACTGCTTTGCTTTCAGCTCCAAAAGGCTTCTGAAAAAGCTTATTTTTTGAACACTTCCACATAGTTACAGCAATTTGAAAGCTTCAGCTCGGAACAGCTTTGCTCGGCTCGGCTCCGCTTTCTGTGTGAACGTACCCTTAGAGGTAGCTTCTCCTCGTGTTGTCAAAAGCGGATGTGGTGATACTTATTTATAATGGTATTATCTAAACGCTTAAAAACCTCATGAAAGCATAAATCTCGTAAATAGCCCGGTTTTCCAATACAAAATTATGTACATTTACGCGTTTATATGAATACCCTTATTAACAAATGCCATAAAACTGGGATCCTTTTTATTTCTAAAACATATTTTTCTATTTATTAATTCATGCCTGCATTTCAGTTCTTTTACGTTCCGTGCCAAAATGTGTACAACCAGTGCGATAGAGTTTGTGCGCGCTTAGATTACTTTGCTACGCTTCATCGCCGCTATCTTCACTATGCTGCTCTTCTGGGTATTGACGCTGCAGATCCAACAGCATTGCAACTGTGTGCCGCTGAAGTAAAACGCATCAAGGTTAGTTAATCATCAAGCATATAAATAGGTACATTAGACCGCACCAAAAAAGTTCGCCTTTTTGAATTTTTCGTGATATCTTCGGCCGCAAGTTTTTTTGTGACAAAGTTCTTTGATCTAAACCATACCGTTGTACAAGGCACTTACCCACCACATTTCAGTTCTTATCAGCCTAGTGTAGGTACCACCCTAATGTCAGTAAATTAAAGCTCGCCAAAAACCATTAAACTTTTGATGAGGAAAAATATATATATTGCCGAATGTATGTGCCACCGAAAAATGTAAAATGGCGTCGTTCTATTCCGCTCTTATCTTCCTTCGTGCGCCGCAGCAAAATAGCAGGTTCTACGCCTATTGATTCGATGCTATTCATAGTAGCTTCATTTTAGACATTACTGAATGCTCGGTAAATATCTATATATACTCCTAGAGCGTATGATTTGTATTCTAAAGCCTTCTCGATGTGTTGTACTAACGAGTCTAGTGCAGTCTCCGTGGACTTGCCCTTAGTGTACGCATGTTGGGTCTTGGCCACCATGGCAGGCGGCAGAATGTCCCTGATGTCATTGTCAAGAATTTTTTCCAGCGATTTTAGGAGGAATGAGGTCAGACTTATGGGTCTGTACTCCTTAGAGAAAACTGGGTTGTTCTTACCTGCTTTGGGTATAAAGACGACTCTCGTTGTACGATAAAAATATTGACGAAAACGGAGATGGAGAAAAAGATAACGATGATGAAAACAAAAGAGGAGGTGGGAAATAACTGTTATCAGACGACGTAAAAAATAAACGTTTGATTATAACTATTATAGGCGAAATGAAATATAGATATGTCTGATCTAATAACTGTTATGAAACAACGTTTTCCGATAAAACAGAAAATTGGAATGTCTCTGAATCTACTGAATAAAGATCTCAATATTTTTTTTGGGTATTTGTAGATTATTTTTAAAGCTGATATTTTTAAGTTTTGATATCATATGCACAGATGATTACAATTAATGACAAAGTAGATATATGTATTATATGGTATCCTTGATTTTCATATTCATATGTACCATTTAACTCATGGCGACATCCTTGTACAATATAAATACATATGTACATATTTGCAGCAACTATGGGACTACGTTTACGTCATTGAATCATGTATAGTTGAATGGCATACTACAGCATGGCATAACATCGACACTGATGAATTGGAAACAGAATGCAAAAAATTTACGCGCGATCTACGTACGCTGGATAAATGCATACGCGATTGGGCGCCCTACGTTTACATAGTTGATATCCTCAAGGAGTTGATGGCATCACTGCGCGCCATCACTGAGCTACAAAATCCAGCTATAAGCGAACGCCATTGGCTTGAGTTGATGCAGGCGACTAAGGTAACATTGCATAGATATATATATGTACGTATGTACAGATGTATGTATGTATGAACGAACATATTGTATAATATAATATTCAAAGGCACGCAAGGATGGATGCCAAACAAACTGTAAATATACCTAGTAAAAGTGCACCGATTTCGCTAAAACTTGCTATATGCTTTTTATACACTGGAACAAGGCGGATTAGCAAAAATTTTGATTATTGGTATATTGCCACGCCCATGCTACTTGTGGGCGCAAATATTATCTGATTTAAATAAAACTCGGTTTTTATATTTGTTTCACCTCAAAAAGTATAAAGCTGAAATATGGTGAATACAACCGAAATCAATTCCCATATAAAAATTTAGGAGTACCGTTAGTTTTTTCATGATCAAATGTTTGTATCTAGACCAAATTAGTATGGCACTACCAGTGAGACACTACCTTTCCGATAGAGAAAGAATTATCGAAATCGGTTTACCTTCTCCCTTTTTGGAAGTCGGTTAAATAAAAAAAATTCATATAAAGAAATTAAAAAGAAATTTTCCTCTAACAAAATATTTTTAATTAGTTTATAGTTCTCAAGAAAAAAAATGCTCCTATATTTATTTCTTTAAAGAAATGATGAAAAATATTACTTGTGATTTTTCTTGAGAACTATTTTCTAAGCTCAAGTGGCTCTTAGCTAAGAAATATCTAATATGCAGGGATATAATATTTATAAAAATCTTTGCAAATACATACGGTGATCGTCTTTTTTACGAGAGAAAGAATATTCAAATTTCTATGTAAAATAATATTTTTGGTCGAAAATGCTCTCTTTAATAAGAAAATTTGATTTAATTTTCTCTTTTCACCCTTTTAACTCTTTCCTGCCGGCAAAAACAGCTAAATCAACAGCATTCTGTGGAATATTTAGTGAGTTTCTGGAAATGAAATATTTGTTGATATGATTTTGTTTGTAAAAAACTTTTTATTCGAGTTTCCAACCGCTTAAAATTTTAGTGACTAAATTTATACATATTGACAAAAAATTTGCATTGAGTTCAGCGAATGAAAGAGATTTAAATGCACTCTTAACCCGAAGGAATAATTTTGAATAGGGTTGCCAGCTTTCTAAAAATATTAATCTATATATGCATCTTCCAAAATCGAGCTATGGGCCTTCGAAGCTCGAAATTGGACCTTTGGTAAAAAAATATGTTTAATTACTCTATGTAAACTACTAAAAAAGTAAAAACATAGTCGTGGTACGCCTTTTGCTCTTAGTTAAACGGTATATAACTTTGTTTTTATGGGACCTGTAAAATAGGTTTGCACAAAAAAAGTTATATACCGTTTACTCTTTTAGTTATTTTCATACAATAATTAAAAATCATTTTTAACAAAGGTCCTATTTCGAACTTCCAAAG